TTTAGATCAGCTTTAGCTCTCCTGCGATATGAGAGCTGTGAAATATCATTTGCTTTTGGCTAGCTATCAAAGAGTCTTGGACCATATCTGTTAAATACATTAGGATACCAAGGAATTTCACAAGCTGTTCCAGATAAGCACACAGTAAGTAGGTGAGGCAAATAGACTTATGACTTATGTATTTTCCCAGCCAAGTTTTGCATCTCAAAAGTTACACCAGAAAATCATTTGGACATTTCTGTTTGCAGTGACTCTTAGATTGTATTTCTTTTCTGCAAGACACCATTGGATTCTCAAAGAAGAACAAGCCAGGAATGCCCCGACTGGCATAATATTGCAGAGTTGCAGAAGGAGTTCATAGACAAGAAGTAAAAATGGCAAGGATCTCTCCAAGAGGCCCGCGTCTCTTGTCGCAGTGACACTGGAGGCAGTCTGGCTCTTGCACACATTTTCACAGACCATGCTATTCATGTTTGTAAATCATGCTGGAATATTCAGGGTTAACTTGATTGCTACAGCTCAGAAAAGTCAATAGTGTTATTTTTGAATCTGTGCTGGAGGCTGACGACAATTGGTGATTTCATTTAGACTGTAGCACCGGATGCTAAAAATAGAGAAAGTGACTGCAGCCTGCAGATTTTAGATCCTAAATTCACTCGCACGTGATAAGCACTGAGGGCACAGAGGTTACATTTATATTAGTTTAGTATTTATGACCCATGAAATGAGATGTTTCTTGTGAATAAAAGGCGAACTTCTACATGAGCATGTAAAGCTGAACACTGGTTGGCCTTGATCTTTTGAAGATAATGTGATCATCTCGAACCCACAGAGAGAATTTCTGAAGAATCGAGGTTAAGAAGCAGACAGAAACTTCCTCATGGGAATTAAATTAATTTCTTTCACCCCTTGGTACACCGCCATCCTGCAAACAATGCATCCCTTTGTCAAGAAATCCCAACTCTCAATGTCAAGAAGTTCGTTAGTCTGAAACAAGGAGTCTGACCCACTGGGGCTTCCTGTTCACTTTTACTGACTAGTGAGGTTAGAGTCAAAGTGCAATCCCAGTATTTTACTCACTGTTTTCTCCTCAAATTGCCCTTTTTTATTGCTATGACATGTTTCTCATGGCATAGGCAAGAGGACTGATAAGATGGTGCTTAATTTAGCCACAAATAACAATGCAAAATCTTGAGTCTGGTGGATTTGGTATCCAAATCTATCCTCAAATTAAGTGGTACTACCCTGGAGTAGGAAGTGTTTTTGTTTTTTCCTGCCACCTGCAGGCAGAAGCCACCATGTACAATTCCTGTTGTCCCAAATCTTGCACCCGCAAACTGGGTGCTCAGCATTGCCACTTAGCATAAAATGTAGGGCACAATGGTGCCTACCAAAGGACTTCATGATACTTATGACAGGGATGGTGCTATAGTTTTTTTCCAGCACATCTGTACCTATTTGCTGGCATAGTAAGAGGAATCAGTTCCTTACAAGATACTAAATCCACATTGGTCTGAGGACTATTATCCTACTGGTCTAGTCGAGAGGGGATTATTGATTCTTATGATTCTCCTGGAATCCCTGGAGAGACTGAAAGCTGCCACCCTCTATCCCCCGCCAACAGAAACCCAGATAACAAAAGCCAGTGGAAACACCACTTGTCCTCTGCTGGGACATGAATCCCCACTGAGTGTCTCAGCACTTGCTAGTGAAAGGAAGAGCAGTTTGCATCTCTCTGCACTATCAGGGTTGCATCTAGCCCAGGATTGCAATAGAACAAAGAATTTGCACTTTGTGTTTATCTATTCCCCTTCTGACTAACAATATCTGGGTTTTCGTTTCTCTGTCTGCTTTATCCATTTTTACCAATTTGCAAGCTCCAGACCAGTGCCAACAAGCAGATGGTAAGTGGAACTTGCAAATTAGAAACATAGACACTGTAGGCTTTCAGCATTAAAAGACCCAAGAGTTCACTTAGCTCATTCCATGTCTTCCATTAGGAAGAACTCCAGTCTCAGCAGGTATATCCAGCAACATTCTTTTCCCATAAATAAATTCAGTGTAAGGCTTTGATTCACTAACACTATCAGATCCCAGGGCTAGAGAGCATGGTCAGAGAGCTTCTACCACTTAAATATGAGCTCCCCAAGGAAGCAAATGTCCATTTTAAAATTGTTTGTTTCTGAAAATTAAATAGAATGAAAGAAAAGAAACAAGGCCTCTATGCCCAGGAACAAATGGCATGTTCTTAACCTGGATTCTGATTACACAGAAAGGCAGCATAGTCTAACCATAGCACTGGGAAATAAAAACTCCTGTATTCTAACCTGGGTTCTGCTACTGACTGATTGTTTAAAGGAACAGTTCTGGCCATAGGTACTGTCTTCCTCAGTTCCTGGGGGGTTGCTCCCCTCCACTCGACCCCAGGGCCTGCCCCCACTCTACCTCTTCTCCCAGCCCCAACCCCACCTCTTCCCGCCCCCACCCCGCCACTGCCCTGCCTCTTCCTGCCCCTCCCCCACCCTCACCCTCGCCCCCACTCCTCCTCCCCCTCCCAGAACCTCCTGCATGTCGCTGAACAGTTGATCATGGTGGGCGGGAGGCACTGGAGGGGGGAGGGGGAGGCGCGCTGGTCCACAGGGCTGCTGAGCACTATTTTTTTTTCCACAAGTGGCGCCTATGGTTCTGATAACAGTTTTTGATAAACATTTTGGTAGAAAAATTGTGATTATTTTGAAAAATGAGACCATTTTGAAGCCTTTGAAATAGAAATAATGTCAACATTTTGAAAGTTTTCCAGGTTTTTTGTTTAAATATTTTAAGCAGTTAGCAAGAGAGTTGTGAAGATTAGCTATTGGGTCATGTGAGATAATGGCCCAGTGTGAAAAGCTGACCCTTTCCGGCAGTCATGCCAAGTGATCGGGTATGGGTGGGGCTATTGGTCCTCCTTTCTTCTACACCATCATCCTGCGGGGTCAGTCCCTTCTTTTGCAGCTCAGCCCTCTTGCCAGGTCATGAATTCTAATCCACCCCTTTCAGGGTATGCAGAAAGAAAAGTCCAATAAAGGAGAAGTCTTTTGGAACTTTCTCCTTAGGTCTGGGACTTGGGCTCTAGACTCTTCTGTATTCAGGGCCTTCCACTGCTGGATTCCCCAACCAGAGGTAGGCAGACTCCAATTTTTGGCCCATCCTCTCCACCGGGCTCCGATCAAGGGCCAAATTGTGGGCAGGTATGTTCTACACCTTAGGGTGCTAAATAGCTACCTCCCTATTTGAGGTCCCCCTTTCCTAGCCCCAGAGTCATTTTAAGGCCTGAACTGAAAATAAAGTTTCTGACCCTTCCAGAGAGTCACCAGTCTCTCCTTTGCAGGCTTGGTCAGGTCAGTGTGGTGAGCTGTCAGGCAACAAGAGCTCCTTGGCTGTTATTTCCCCTGAGCAGAGGTCTGTTCCTGTCCCCTGCATGTCTCCTTCTCAGCTGCTCTGCTTCCTCTTTTAAGCTCTGCCTTGCAGCTTGTGCAGGCCTTGCAGGTGTGACTGGGCGGGGCTGCCTTGGCCCAGGACTGGTCCTTAACCCCTTGTTCTCCGGTGTGGAGTTTGCACACCCCATCACACTCAGTATTACTAAGGCTGAATTTGGCCCATTGTAGGGTGCTTTAAAGATATAAGGTGTAAGAGGAAGGTACTGTAATGTAAAACATCTATAGATATTTGTGCAGGATGGAATTAGACAACAGCACAAAACACAGCCATTTGAAAGTGAAGAAATATTGGTTTATTCATCTGTGCAAGTGAAAGCATAAAATCAAACCCAGTTCAAGTAAATCACATCACCAATCTAATGAAAGAGCAAAGTGAGATGTACTGCCTTCCCCCATAGACTTGCGAACAGCTGTCACACAATGCAGAATGGACAACACAATTGTAAAACTAATCCAAAAATTCAGAAGTGGAAAATAAGCCCCTCCAAAGTCTGATTCCCCCCCCCCCTTTGCATGCACTGCTGATGATGATCATACTACCTCACAGGGGTACTTTGACCATAAATTCATTGTGTGTGAGGTACTCAGGTACTATGCGGAGGGGCCTGTCTACGCACATAGGCAGACAGAAGTAAATATAAGACAACTAGAGGTGCGTGCACGTGCATCACTAAAGAACTCTCTTTGAATAGCTTCTGAGGTTCCCTGGGACTTCACAGTCCTCAGCACTACTATACAACAAAGCCACATCGATTTCATCATCACTGGCAAAGATCAAACTCAGTTGTTGAGCATGTTAGGAGGCTTCAAAGCCCATGCAGATGCTTTCTCTAGCCTTCTGGCTCCCAGCAACTCTGATGGCAACTGCTGGGATTTTCTCAGAGATGTATTCACACAGCTGAATGTAGTCTAGAACTAACTGGCAGCATGGCTGTGTGGCAAACTTGCCTATATCACACCTCTTCCAAACAGAGTTTAGGGCCTTCCCATAAGAGAACCTAACCTCCAGCTTTTGGTTTTCTCCTCAGTTTTCTGTCTCTCCGCCTCATTCCTGACATCTCTGGCTTTTCAGGAGTCCCCTCCTTTAGATCTTAGCCTCCTACCTGCTGCTGGCGGTAGCTTTTTCTGTTTTCTGGTGCAAATCCAAACTCTTCCCCTTCTGTGAATGCAAGATCCTGAATCCAGTGAAACTTCAGGGGCTGGGTAGGATGCGGGGAACCTAGGTAATGGGGCTTTCACCCTCTACATAGCACTTTCCAGCAATATTATTATTTGTATTATCATAGCAATTAGGACCCCCAGTCATGGACCAGGACCCCTTTGTGCCAGGCACTGTACAAACACAGAACAAAAAGACAGTCTCTCAAAGTCTCTTTACACAGATGGGTAAGCATTATTATCTCCATTTTAAGGATGAGGAGACTGAAAGGCAGAGCGTGTGAGTAGAGCTTGGCAGAGAACACATATTCCATTTCACGAAGGATTTTGTCATTTGTTTTGTCCTGATTTGGAACAAAACCCTAACATTCTGAAATGTTCCTAGAAAGACAATCCTGAACATGTTTTTGCTTCCAATCAATTGAAATGCTTCATTTCAATTTTGACTTTTTTTTTAAAGTGCATCGTATTGTGAAAAACCAATACAAAATAAACTATTTCAAAACAAAGAGCCATTAAAAAAGGAAAAAATATAAATGTTTCATTCTGAAAATGTTGAACCAGGAGGTTGTGACACTGTCAGAACTCCCCTCACTTCTCCCCACCCCCAGTTTTTTTCTCCAAAATGAAATTTCAGCAAAACCGATATATTTTTACTCAGTGTTTTGATTTTCCAATAACAAAATTGTTCTGTTGAGGTTTTTCTGACTAGCTCTAAGGTTGAGTGAGCAGGTCCAAGCAATGGGATCCTAGTAATTTAGGGACAGAGCTAAAAATAGAACACATTCTTCTGATTCCTAGTCCTGAGCCCTTGACACAGCACCACTCTGCCTCCCTAACAGTTGTACACTCCAATTCTATTTTAACTACACAGATATTACTCCTCAGCTGGGTTATGAGGCTGGTTAAATTCAGAATTGATAAGCAGAAAAAACATATTAAACAATAGATATTATTATCATAGCACCTAAAGCACTTATGATGAAAGGTTCTATTATGGAGGGCTCTGTAGAAACACATATAAAGAGACAGCTCCAGCCTAAGCTGCTGTGTTTAGTAATAGGGTTAGGCAGATATGGTAAAACCAAGTTCATGAACTTTCATATAATTTCAGAACAGTTGTTTGCTGCCATCAACTTTGTGCTCATTTTTGTTTGCCATTCAATGAGGTTTCGTTCCTATGGCTATTGGAGAAATGGCTGATTTTCATACAAATACCTGTAGTCACGGGAACAAGGGTATTCATGAATGCACAACAGTATTGGTTATTCACTATTCATTAATCTTCTGATTAAAAAGTGCAGTCATCCAGTCAGGGAACCGAACCAATACAATGACACTTAGGTGACCAGTCACACCCTATAAACAATGAATAGAAAATTGCTGAAGTTTCTGGAAAACCTAAAGGCTAAAAAATGGTCAGATTTTTCAGCAAATACAAATAAATAATGAATTCACAAAAATTAATGTTTGTTTGCACACAATTAATGAACAGAAAAAAGGGAGTTTAACTCATTAGATAAACTACGCTGAACACAGTTTGACCAATTCTATTTAGCTGTTAGGAAAAATCTCATATTTTTACTAGTACACTGAGCAAATTTGGTATGGGAATTATGGAGCGATTATATATATATATATGGAATCCACAATGGCATTGCTAAGAGGCACTTTTCAGAGTAATACTGTACTTTAACATATAACTTTGTACCTCCACATTTTTCTTTTCTTTCTTCTTTGTATAACATTTGGATGCAAACTTTTAAACTTTGTTTAGTTACTGGCAATCAAAAGAGAACTGTTGCTGCTGGTTTCTAAGGGCTTTTTTATAATACATTCCTCAAAATAAGAAGACAGTTTACTTATAAATATGAATTAGCAAGTTCTCAGTCCTGCAGGGTTTAAAATATAAAAAAACTTAAGTAAAAGCATTTAACTCACACTGGTTTCAGTCAGTCTTGTGTATTATCATTGAAATTGGACTTTCATGAACAATAAGAATTCTATGCAAAGTGCAATATTCCTAGAAAACCGGAACAACTGCATCTTGAGTCCATACAGCGGGCGCCCTTTTAAAAAAAAAGAGTGCATAATTTCCTTTTTACCATTATATTTGCAGTGTTCCCTCTACTTAGAGTGGAAAATACAAGTGGTGAATTTCACTATTGCATGCAGTGGTCAAGTTTTTAATGGAACACACTGTGCATTTTAATGACTTAGCAGCATCCTCTTTGTATTTTCAGGCATCGTGTGTATCAGTCCTTCAGGAGATTGTGACCGCAAGAATGCAGTTTTCAAATTACCCTGAAACTCAGTGGCACAGAGTGAGACAAAGGAGCTTAGAAGAGTCACAGCAGAAAGTATTAAAACACCTGACCTCTCCCAGTTTTTATGTTTTAATTACATAAAAATAATATCCTTTAATGATCAAATAATTAAATTTAAACTTACATTATTTAAAGAAATGACTTGTAGGCTGAAACTTCACCTGTAGCTGAGTCTTCTGTTGTAGCTAGATGTTGCAGGGACGTACCTAGCAAAGGAAGGAATAGCAAGTTAACTCAGTCACCTTTTCCTTCCACAGGACCTTGAATCAGACTCTGAATGTTACATTAATGTAGTTTTTCTTTCCTATTTGATACATGCTTTGCTAGTGCTGAAATTTTCTGGGGCATATTCTTGCAAATACAGTAAAGGCAGCAGACAAACTGTAGCACAGAAGAGTTTTAGAGGAAAAGAGCTCTCTGCTGGACATTTTAGAAACTGCAAGGGCTAAGAATATAGAGTAATCATAGCTTGTCAATATTCTGATTATCTGATACATTTGTTTTAAAAGTGGCCATGTGATTTGTACAGCAATAGACGCTGAACCAGGCCTGGAAGACCAGATGGCTTCCTTACTGCACATTTTCTGATAATTTCTGAATGACCACAAACAAAGAGAGATGATTATAGTGGGGAGTCTCATCTAAAAAAAAAAATGAAACTCCAAAATCCAAGATCAGACAGTCCTGATAGCATTTTTCTTAGTTACTAGCGTAACAAACCAAAATTATGTGATGCAATCATATATGAAGTAATAGCAAGAAAGGCTTAGACACTCTAATATTATTTTACAATTATTATTATTTATACATGTGAGATTGTCTCAAGGTGGAGGATCATCTCAAAGATGAGATCATTCCAAATTTGAGATATCAAACTCAGAACCACATGAAATTTGAGATTCTCTCAAACTTTGGACCAATTCATCCTCTGGATGTTCTACTTTAAACATTCATAACTTTTTTCTTCTTCTCCTTTTTCATTATCTGTGTTGTGGTAGTACCTAAAGGCCTCTGTGAGGATTGGGATGCCATTGTGCTAGGTACTTTACAGACACATGATTACAGACAGTTATTGCCCCAAAGATCTTATAGCAGAGGTGGGCAAACTATGGCCCGCGGGCCACATCCGGACGGTGGGACCCTCCTGCCTGGCCCCTGAGTTCCTGGCCTAGGAGGCTAGCCCCCGGCCCCTCCCCTGCTGTTCCCCCTCCCCAGCAGCCTTAGCTCACTCGCTCCACCGCTGGCGCAATGCTCTGGGCGGCAGGGCTGCAAGCTCTTTCCCGGCAGCGCAGCTGCAGAGCCGGCCTGACACGGTGCTCTGGGGAAAAGGTGGGCGGCCGTAGTGCAGTCAGCCACCGGTGCTCCAGGCAGTGCGGTAAGTGGGCAGGGAGCAGGGTGGGTTGGATAGAGGGCAGGGGAGTTTGGGGTGGTGGTCAGGGGGTAGGGGTGTGGATAGGGGTCAGGGTGGTCAGAGGGTGGGGAACAGGGGGGTTGGATGGGGCAGGGGTCCCGGGGGGGCAGTCAGGAAGGAGAGTAGGGGTTGGATGGGG